GGGGCGGGTTGTCTGTCCAAATGGGCTTGTTTTTCACTTTTCCTCCGCCTCCGATCGCCTTCCTGTGTACTCTCCCGCGCCTCGCTCCTCCGGGCTTGTGTTCCCGCGCCTGACCCTTCTTCCCCCTCTCCCCCCCCCTCTCCCCTTCCCTCTACTCAGTTCGTCCTACCTCGATGCCATCATCGACGACTGCATCAAGCACCTGCGCGAGACGGTCCAGGCCGGGGCCGACGCGGCCGCCCTGGCCGCAGCCTCCGCCACCAACGACGGCGCCCCGGTCCCGAATGAGGCCTTCTCCGCGGCCGGGCTCTTCGAGGTGGATGCCAGCCGGCTGACCGGGCCGGACCCCAAGCAACAGGCAGCGGCCAATGCCCAACGGCTGGTGTCGGTGGTGGGGTACTTCCTGGACGCGGTGCTCGCCTCGGCGGCCCGGCTGCCGGCGAAGATCCGCCAGCTGTACCACAGCGTGCGGGTGTCGATCGTTCACCACTTTGGCGACGCCTCGGACGATGAGCTGAAGGGCATCGGCGGGCTGTTCTTCCTGCGGGTCTTCAACCCCGGGCTGCTGTTCGCCGTCAATGAGGACGGCCTGCTCGGGGGCCAGGCCGGCCGTCGGGCGCTCATGCTCATCACCAAGCTCATCCAGAACATCGCCAACCAAATCCCCTTCAAGGCGTCGGAGCATGGGAATGCCGACGGCCTGTTGACCTCGCTCTACCGGGCATACATGCCGCGGGTGTTCACCTTCCTGGATGCGGTGTCCTCGAGCAGCGGGTCGCTTGAGGCCTGTCCCTCGGCGCAGGATCTCCTGCACCAGGCCCCGGCCCATGTGGCTTCGGCGGCGTCGGCCATCGGGGCCACCCTGACCGGTGGTGCTCGGTCCCCGGGCGACCTGGACGCCTACACGGTCAAGGGCCTGACCGACATCAACGCCGTGGTCGGTGTGTCGGAGTTCCTCTTCAAGTACCAGGAGCAAATCAGCCGCGAGGTGCACAACATCGTGTTGATGTCCTCGTCGGCCGGGCGGCCGGGCTTCAGCCGGGCGGCGGCGGCGGCCGCTGTGGCGGCCGCCGCCGTCACCGCCGCCCCGCCCATCGGCGATGTGGTCATGGCGTCCTCCGTCCGGTCGGAGGACGACCAGGCCCCGGCGCCGGCCGGGGACATCCGCAAAACCTGGTTCCCCAAGGCGCCGGTGCCGCCGGTGGAGGCCGAGGTCAAGAGCATCGTCGGTGACCCGGCCCTCCTGCGCAAGACCATGGACGCGGTGTCCCACATGATCGTGCAGACGGGCCAGCTCCCGCCGTATGCCACCAGCGGCGGAGCCGGGCCCGGGGCCGGGCCCGGGGCTGGCGCCGGTGCCGGTGCCGAGGCTGGCCTCTTCGAGCAGTTCATGAGCCGGCACCAGGGCCGCAACACGCAGGCCATTCGCGACCTCGGGGTCTTCCGGCTGGTGCCGGTGCCCAATCGGCCGCGGCCGCTCTTTGTCTTCCTGGCCCGCAAGTATGTCACGGCGCAGGTGGACGAGTCGCTGCTGCTGTACTACATCCTGGACACCCTGCGGCCGGTGTTGGAGCGCTCCTTCGACGTCATGGTGGACTTGCTGCTCTTCCGCAAGGAGAACATCATCCCGGCCCAGTGGATCCTGCAGTTTGCCAACCTGCTGGCAGCCCTGGCGGCTACCAACAAGAACGCCGGGCAGTCGCTGAATGCCCTGTTGTTCGTGCACCCGAACAATCTCTTCCGGAAGTTTGCCTCCACCACCCTGTCGCCCTTCTACACGCCGCAGTTGCAGGAGCGCACGCACTTTGCCGCCTCGGCGGCCGATGTGCCCGGGGACTTTGCCACCGGCTACTCCTACCTGCTGGAGAAGATGTACTGCCAGAGTGTGGAGCGGCCCTTGCTCAAGCCGGCCAAGCTCTTCCAGCAGCTGGTTTGCATGCAAACGGCCACCGGGGACTCCTCCAATCGGCAGGACAGCGTGCCGGTGGTGTTCGGCGTCGGGGGGGCCTCCTTCTGCCTGATGACGGTGGAGGGCAAGCCGATCCTCGGCCGCTCGGCCCAGCTGGTGGATCACTACCTGTCGTCCTCCATCGAGGACATTGACCTGAGCCGGCGCACCCCGATGACCCTGGTGGTGAAGCTGTTCGATGCGCGCACGTCCACCTACACGTCGATTGTCATGCGCATGGTTCCGGGAAGCGCCGGGGCCGGTGGCGGCACCGGGGCCGGCGGAGCTGGCCCTGGCACCGCCGGGGTCGAAGGCTCGGCCGGGGTCAGCGCCTCCTCTTCCGGGTCCGGTGTCAGGCCCGGGGCCCTGGGCCGGTCGTCGATGCGCATGAGCTCCCTGACGACTGTGGGCTCGGCCCCGAGCGGCAGTGACAACCTCTCGGTCATCGAGGAGCTGACCCTGTCGCTGCGCACCCTCAAGGAGGCCCACGATGCCAACCTCCTGACTGACGTGGCACGGACCATCCGGCCGAAGGATGTTCCGGGCACCCTGTTGAACATGGCCCTGCTGAACATGGGCAGGTATGTGTCTTTCTCGCGCTTTTCGCTTTTTTTTTTTTCCCCTTCCGGCACGCATGCGCGTTCCTCCTTCTTTTCTTCTTTTCCGCCTTCCTTTGTGCCCCCCCCCCCCCCGGTCCGGCTCCCCTGCTGCTGCATGGCCATGCCTTGTGTGCCGGGCGCCGCTCCCTTCCACGGTCCCTGGGGATGTTGGCGGTGTCCGGCCCTCGGTCCTGTGTCACTGCTGCATGGGCCCCACGGCCGGGTGCCGGCCGGCCGGCCGGTCGGCCCACACACCGCGCTAACCTCGACCTTCCTCCGGCCACCCTCACACACAACCACGCAGTGACGATCCCGACCTCCGTCTGGCGGCATATGACCTGCTGTGCTCGCTGTCGATCACCTTCCAGTTCGATGTGTCCAACCAGCTACTTCGTGCCAAGGGCATGTGCATCCCCTCCAACAACACGTCGTTCGTGATTTCCGTCAGCCGCAAGCTCTCGGAGAAGGAGCCTCACCTGACGCTGGAGTTCCTCTTCGAGGTGCTGACCGGCTTCAAGAACTCCTCCAAGGAGATGAAGCACTTCGCCCTGGAGTACATGGCCCCCTGGCTCAACAACCTGGCGGTGCTGATGGCCCAGCGCAGCCAGGCCTCCATGGACTCCTTCAGCGATGAGGGCCCGGACTTCGACCCGATGGCCTCCACCGGCAGCAGCGGGGCGGGCGGCCTCGGCGGCAGCAACCCCGGCAGCAACCCCGGCAGCACGCTGGCCAGCCCCGGCGGCCCGGGGTCCGGCGATGTGGACGGAACGGCCGGGGCCCTTGCCCGGGCCGGCAGCAGTGCCTACAGCGATTTGGATGGCCACGAAACGGACCGGCTCATTTCGCGTATCATCCACCAGCTGGTGGAGATCACCCTCGGCGAGTCGGAGATGAACCCCTCCATCCAATCGAAGGTGTGGTACACGGTGGCCCTGTCGCCCTCGGCCCTGGGCCCGGTGCTCAATGCCTTCATCACCAAGGCCCTGGATCATCGGTTTGGCTCGCGCGAGGCCGAGGTGATGGCCGAATCGGCGGTCACCCTGGCCTCCGTGTCGCCGGAGTCCGCGCGCGTGGTGGCGTCCATCGTCTTTTCGCGCCTGTGCTCGGCCGTGGACCAGACGGCGCGCGCGCAGAATTCCGTCCAGGCAGCCTGGGCCTGGGGCGAGATTGTGGTGCTGCTGCGCTTTGTGCTGATGCTGTCCTTCCACAATCGCCTGTGCCTGGAGGAGAATCTGGCCGACCTGCTGCACTGCATGACGGCCGTCCTCGGTGTCGGGCCGCCGTTGCTCCGGTCCACGGCCTACGGCATCATCATCAATGCGGTGCAGTCGCTCGGCACGGCCATCGCCCACCGGCCGGAGGCCGTCAAGAAGATGGCCCTGCATTTGGACGAGCTGGCCACCAGTACCTTCCTCATCCACTTCGGCCTGCGCCAGGGCAATGTCCGGGTGTTTGAGCTGTCGCGGGCGGCCGGGTCGGTCGGTGGCCGGCAGCTGGCCGGCTTGCACTTTGCCCCGCTGCACTTGAACTCCCTGGCCGACATGATGACCCGCGAGCGGGTCCCCCTGTCGGCCCTGTCGGCCTTCTGCGAGAAGTGTCTGGACATTTTGGATGTCGTGGCCATTGCCTCGCCGGACATCGCCAGCCGGACGCTGTCCCGGTGGTCGGACCTGGTGCTGTCGATTGCCTTCACCCCGCACATTGCGGTCATCCAGTCGCGCATGTTCGTGGTGCTCGGCTGCCTGACCAACCGGTCGCCGGAGTTCTCCAAGCAGAGCGAGGCCAACCTCCTGCGGGTGTTGGACTCCCTGGAGGGGGCGGTGGATCATTTGCGCTTCTTCGCCGATGACAGCCTGCTGTCGAGCGTGGCCGCCGCCCAGTCGGCCCTCAGTCGGCGGACGTCGCAGCATGCCTCGGGTGGCACCCTGTCCCGGGGGAGTGCCAGCGGGGGGGCCGCGGCCGGCGGTCCGCGCCGGGTTTCGACCGAGGTGGCCGCCGCCGCCGCCGCCGCCGCCGCCGGCGCCGGTGGGGCGGCTGCCCCGGGGGCCACGGCAGCCGGTGCCCTCTTGCCCCCGGCCCCGGTGGGATCCTTCCCCGAGGGGGAGATCTCGCGCTTGCTGCTGGACTGCCGGTCACGCTCGCTCAGCGGCCTGTCCCAGGGGCTGGCCACGGCGGTGGCCGTCAGCTTCCCCACCGAAGATGAGGTCCTGCTGCTGATCAATTCGCTGCTCCTGTGTGTGTCGAAGATCTCGCCGCACTTGACGCATGGCGTGGCTGTTCGCCACCTGCCCACCTTGCTGTGGATTTCCGTGGTCATCATCAGCATGGGCCACTTGGACCTGTTCAATGAGGCGGTGGACTTGCTGGATGTCCTCCTGCGGGCATTCAACCGGTATGCCACGGTGCCCGGCCCGGATGGCACCACCATCTACGACCATTACCAGCTGGGCGAGGCGGTGGCGGCGGCGGTGGCGGCCACGGCGGCCGGTGCCCCTGCCTCCGGGCCGTCCTTCGGCGATGTGATGATGGCCGCGCGTCGTGCCTCGCCGGATTTGCACCTGCTCTTGCGGCAGCTGGATCACATGGTGGCCGCCAACTTCGATGAGAATTTCTCCTTCGCCCTGGCGTCCATCCTCTACCGTGGCTTGAAGCATGTGTCCACCAGCACGTCCACCCAGCGGCTGTTCCACACCCTCCTTGAGGTGAGCAGCCCGCGGTATGGGGTGGCGGCCTCGAGCGGCGGTCCGGGTGGAGCCGCAGGCGGCCCTCCCGGTACGGAACCCACCGTCCGGACGCCCCTGCTGCTGGTTGGTGGCCCGAATGCCGCCCGGGGTCCGGAGTCCGTGCCGACGGTGGCCGGGGCTTCGGCCGGGGGCCTGTCATCCGAAGGCTCCGGCGGGCTGTCGGCCGATTCGACGGACCTCCTGCTGGCGGAAAACCCCCTGGGCAACCGGGTGACACCGGAGCGCTTGGGGTTCTTCCTGCCGCTGGCGCCGTTGGCCGATCCGGCCATGCTCCGGTCGCTGTTGTGGGTGGCCGGGGTGACGCACTTCACGGCGGACCATCCGGGCGCCGGCCCGGAGGCCGGGTTCCCCCATGCCCGGTTCGACCGGTTCCTGGACTACTTCGACTTGCGAAGTGAGCGCACGGCCGTCCTGCTGATCAGCATGCTGGTGACCATGCTCCGGCATTCGGAGAATGAGCAGGAGCAATTCTTCATCTACTCGCTCCTGGCCCAGGTGGCCGAGGAGATGCCGCGGCTGCTGGCGCCCTTCTACCCGTCGATCGCCGATCGTATGGCCATGACCGTGTCGCGGTCCATCGACCAGCGCCTGATTTCGGTGGTGCACCAAATCACGGTGTCCATGATCCTGGCCCGTGGGCCGGACTTGAACTCCTCGCATGTGGCCATCTCCATGGATCAGGCTCTGCAGCAGAGCTCGCACCGGAACCCGGACTCCTCGCAGCTGCCCAACAGCAGCCCGATGACCCTGGCCGCGGCGGCGGCCGTGGCCCTGGTCATGACCGACACCGGGGCCGGGACTGGCAGCGGCCTGCCAGGCCAGCACTCGCACCATGGCGGCACGGTGGTCTTCCAGTACCAGAACCCCTTCCCGACGGCGGCCCTGCTGCAGCAGGCCCAGCACCAGCAGTTCCTGCTGCACAAGCAGCGCAATGAGCTGGACAAGTCCCGGCCGGACCTGATCCAGCCGCCGACGCAGCCCTTCCGGCCGGCTTCACTGCAGGAGCTTGGCTTCGGTGGGCTGGTCGAGTGCGCCACCTGGTCGGTGACCGCGCGCACGGTGCGCAGCTCGCAAACCGACGAGAGCACCATCACCGCGGTGCTGCTCGGCCTCGGGGACCGAGTGGGCGTGTTGGGCCAGCTGGCCGGGGTGTTCGGCCCGGCGCGGACTTCGCGCACGGTTGCCCTGCCGGCGGCCGGGCCGGGCCCCGGGGTGCGCATGTCCTCGGCCGGGCCGGGGGCCGGCTCCGGCACGGCCCCGGGCGGGTCTCTGGCTGGCCGGGCCATCTCGGCCGCGGGGCCGGCTGGCCATGCGGCCGGGACCGGCTCCGGCGGGACCATCTCCCCCGGTGCCGGGGCTCCATCGGCCCAGCTGCTGGACCGCCTGCGGACGCTGCTGAGCCCGGCCATGACGGCGCACTTGATGCAGGAGCAGGACCGCCAGGTTCGGCTGATCAACCTGACGCGCTTCCTGCTGACCATGGTCACCAAGCAGACCACCCGGCTGCCGGATGTCATGGCCGGCAACATCTTCTCGGCCGACGGGGCTCCGGGTGCCGGTGGCCACTCGCAGCAGCCGACACAGCCAGGGCGCCTGTCGCTGACCCCGGTGACCGAGGCGCCGAAATCGGCTGTGGCCTCGGCCACGGTCGCCCCGACCGCCGGGCCTCCGGTGTCCTCCGGCGGGGGCTCCCCGGCGCCGGGCCTCTCGACCGGCCCCTCGGCCGGCCCGCCAGTGGCCCCACGGCCGACCCCCCGGCCGCGTCCGACCCACTCGCCGCAGCCCCCAGTGGCCCAGCAGCAGCAGCAGCAGCAGCAGCAGCAGCAGCAGCAGCAGCAGCAGCAGCAGCAGCAGCAGCAACAGTGTGACCCTACCCCCTCGCCGACTCACCCCATGGCCGGCACCATGCTCACCCGGCTGAGCTCCAGTCTGGAGTCCCTGGCCGGGGACGGGGGCAGTGGCGGAGCCGCGGCGGTCGACAGTCGGCCGTCCAGCTCCGCCTCCATTGGTGCGGCGTCCACTGGGGCTTCGTCGTCTCCCCATCAGCCGCTCCCTCCCCGGTCGGTGTTCTCCTCCACCGGGTCCCTGGCTGACGATTCGGTCCCCCCCCTGGGGGGAGCGGTGTCGTCTGGTGTCCGGCCGGCGGCTTCGCCGCCGCCGCCGCCGGTGCCATCGGCCAAGCCCGGGTCCTCGGCCTCGCGGATGCCCCCGCCCACCGCGGCCCCGGGGCTGGATGAAATGCGCTTTGCCAAGCCCCGGCCTCCGTCGGTGGCCCCGCGACGGGTGCCGGTCCTCCCGGCGGCCGGCGTCGGGGATTATGCCCTGCCCCCCTCGGCGAGCGGCGAGCCTGGACCGGCCGGCGGTCTGAGCGACGATGACGCCGCGCGCGAGTCCTCCTCCCTCCCTTCGGGCGTCGGTGGTCAGTATGGCCCCTCGCGCTCGCATCTCCCGATGGCGGCCCGGTCTGCCGAATCCCTGTCATCGGCTCAGCAGCATCCGGAGATCGGCGGCGAGGCCACCCCCCCGCCGCCGCCGCCGCCACCGGCCTCCTCCAAGCCGACCCCCCCGCCGAAGCCTCTCCCCCGGCTGCCGTTCTTGGATGACGCCCCGGGTGGTGGGGTCCCGGCGGCCGCTGTCGCGGCCGGCTTCAGCCCCCCGCCGCCGTCATCGGCCGCGACCGCCGGCTTCAGCCCCCCGCCACCGGTGGCCCCTCGTCGCCCGACGGCAGCGCCTCCGGCCCCGCCCGCCGCGGCCACGGCCCCTCCCTCGGACGAGTGAGGCGCGCCCGCCTGGCGCCCCTCTCCCTCGGTTCCCCCGCTCCTCTCTCCTGTTATTTCAAATAAAGCGTCTCTTTCACTTTTTTTCGTGTCACACACACAGACACACACACACACACACGGCCGCATGAGGGGGATTCCCGGTGGGGCCCTGCCCGCGCCCCTGCGGCGTTTTCCGGGAAACGTGCGCGCTCCCCGGATGCAGGCGACCGAACAGGCACATGTTGGCGCGTGGATTTGTGTTCAACAAGGACAGATGTTTATTGGTTGGGGTTTTTTTTTTCCCGCGCCGCGCCGTGCTCTTCCCGGTCTTGCTCTTTGCGTGCCCCGCCTTTTCCGGGTTTCTCTCTCTCTCTTCCTTTTCTCCTCTTGGGGAGGGCGCTGGCATGCACAGTGGTGCATGTGTCTTTGCTCGAGGGGGTACCAGCTCCAAAGCCATGCATGGATCGGGGGTCGGCGGGGCGCACGAGCCCGAGGGGCAAGCCCAAGTCACACAGGGTCGCCACAGGCCGTTTCTCTTTCTCCGGCGGCTTTCTCCCGCTCTGTGCTGCCCTCTCTCTCTCTCCCTCTCTCTCGTGCAACGAGCGGGATTCCCCAGGGGTAAGGCCCATCGGTCACCAGTGCTGCTTGGCCGGCGAGCCGCCCTTCGGCGCGTCATCCTCAAAGCCCTCGATCAGCGTGGCAATCGTGGCCAGCGACCAGTAGAGCTCCTTCTTCTTCCGAGGCAGGGACAGGGGCCGACCAGCCGGGGGCCGGCCATTGAGGGACTTCAGCGCACGGACGACGGCGCCCCAGGTTCCCTGCTCGCGGGTGGCCCGCGGCCGGGGCAGACGCTTGGTTTCGATTTGGATGACTGCACCGGCCGCCACGGGGAGGGTACAATGGGACCGAGGTGTCAGAGTGCCCGCTGCCAGATAATCGAAAGCACGGAGGGACGGCGCAGGAAGGGACGTACTGGTGCCGGCGCCGGCGCGGTCCGCCTCGAAGGTGACCACCTCGGCGTAGGGATAGGTCTTGTCGTCGCGCCAGATGTGCCAGACAAGGCGCTGGCCTGTAGAGAGCAGCGAGAGGGAGAGAGAGCCCCCGGCGGCCGGAGAGGCCCATCGTCCCGGCACCCACCGTATGGATGGCAATCGGGCGTGTTGTCCGAGAGTCAGCAAGAATTACACGTTGCGAGGGGGGGGGGGGGGGGGGCCGAAGGGGAAGTCGAATCTCACGCACCCGGCACACACTCGACCAACTCCCGGCGCTCGCACACCGGCGAGGAAGACATGCGCCGGTCGCGCACGCGCGATTCCTCCAGCGACCGGACGTACACGGCGCCCACCTGCCCGGCGGTGCCGGCCACCCGGCGCGACTGGGTCTCAGGCCGAATCCACTGGATGGCCGCCGGATCCATCATGGCCGCGAAGCAGCGAAAGGCGCTGGCCCGGATGGGGGCCGTGCGAATCACGCGGCTGGTGGCCTTTTGGGGCCGCGGGATGGCCCGGGGCGGGGGCAGCGGCGCGGACTTGGGCTTGGCCGTCGGGGCACCGGCGTGGTGCTGGTACTGGGGGGTGCTAGGGGCTCCCATGGTGAGCTCGGTGGAGGCCAGTCGGGCGG